CCATTTCCTCCTGGTTGTCTAGATTGTTGGAGTAGAGTTGTCCATAGTGTTTTTTAACAATCATTTGCATTTCTGTGGGGTCTGTTGTTATTTCGTCTCTATCATTTCTGATTTTGTTTATTTGGGTCCTCTCTCTCTGCTTCTTGGTGAGCCTGGCTACAGGTTCATCAATCTTGTTTATCCTTTCAAAGAACCAGCTCTTGGTTTCATTGATTTTATGTATTGTTTTTTGGTCTCTATGTCATTTATTTCTGCTGTAATATTTATTATCTCCTTCCTCCTGCTCACTCTGACTTTTCTTGTTGCTCTCTTTCTAATTCTGAGTTGTAGAGTTAGATGATTTACTACCATTTTTTTTCTTGTTTTTTGAGGTAGGCCTGTAGAGCTATAAACTTCCCTCTCAGGACTGCTTTCATTGTCTCCCATATATTTTGCATTGTTGTGTTTTCATTGTCATTAGTTTCCAGGATGTTTTTAATTTCTTCTTTGATCTCACTGGTAACCCAATCAATATTTAATAACATGCTATTCAGCTTTGAATTGTTTGAGTGTTTTGGGTTGTTTTTATTGTAGTTTATTTCTATTATTATGCCATTGTGGTCTGAGAAGGTGCTTGGTATGATTTCAATCTTCTTGAATTTGGGGAGACTTTGCTTGTGACCCAATATGTGGTCTATTTTTGAAAATGTCCCACGTGCACTTGAGAAGAAAGTATATTCCATGGCTTTGGGGTGAAATGTTCTGAAGATGTCAATTAAGTCCATCTGATCTAGTGAGTCATTTAGGATTGCTGTTTCTTTGCTGATTTTTTCTCTAGAGGATTTATCCAGTGATGTCAGTGGTGTATTAAAGTCCCCTATTATGATTGTATTGTTGTCAATCTCTCCCTTGATATCTTCCAGCAGTTCTTTTTTAATGTATTTGGATGCTCCTGCATTGGGTGCATATATGTTTATCAAGGTTATATCCTCTTGCTGTATTGATCCCTTTAGTATTATGAAGTGGCCTTCCTTATCTCTTCTTATGGCCTTCACTTTCAGGTCTATTTTGTCTGATATAAGTATTGCTACCCCAGATTTTTTTTCATTTCCATTTGCCTGAATGATATTTTTCCATCCCTTCACTTTCAGCCTGTGTGAGTCCCTTCTTCTGAGGTCGGTCTCTTGTAGACAGAAAATATATGGGTCATGTTTTTTTATCCATTCAGCCACTCAGTGTCTTTTGATTCAAACATTTAGTCCATTTACGTTTACATTATTATTGAAAGGTACTTGTTTGTAGCCATTTCTATTTTTCGTGCCTGTTTTCTTTCTTAGCTTTTTATTTCTTCTTTTTACACCAGTCCCTTTAGCATTTCTTGCATTGCTGGCTTGGCGATGATAAACTCCCTTAGCCTTTTTTTTTTTTTTTGTCTGTGAAGCTTCTTATTTCCCCTTCAATTTTGAATGATAGCCTTTCTGGATAGAGTATTCTTGGATTCAATCCCTTGCTTTGCATCACTTTATAAATTTCTGTCCATTCTTTTCTGGCCTGATGTGTTTCTGTTAAGAAATCATTTGATAAACTAATGGGAGACCCTTGTATGTAACTTTCTGTCTCACTCTTGCAGCTTTTAAGATTCTCTCTTTGTCCTGAACATTTGCCATGCTAATTATGATGTGTCTTGGTGTGGGTCTTTTTGTGTTCATCCTGTTTGAGACTCTCTGTGCTTGTGTGACTTTTTTCTTCCCCACCTCAGGGAAGTTTTTTGACATTCTTTCTTCAAATAGGTTTTCTAAGCCTTGTTCCTCTTCCTGTTGTTCTGGTACCCCTATTATTCGTATGTTGCTTCATTTCATGTTGTCTTATAGCTTCCTTAGTCTCTCCTCCTGTCTTTTAATATTTTCTCCAATTGCAGTTCAGTTTGGGTGTGTTTTGCTTCCCTGTCTTCTAATTCGCTAATTTGGCCCTCCACTTCTCCTAGTCTACTTTTGAAACTTTTCATGGTGTTTTTTATTGCAGCTATATCACTCTTCATTTCTTCTTGGTTCTTTCATAAGTTATTGATTTTTTCATCCATTCCTTCTTGATTCTTACATAAGTTGTTGATTTTGTCCTCCATCCGGTTTATGCACTCTAGGACCCTTATTCTGAATTCTTTTTCTGACATATTGCATGCCTCAGTTTCACTTAGCTGCTTTTCTGGCGAGTCCTCCTTTTCTTTCCTTTGGGGGTTTCTTTGCCTACCCATTTTTGGTCTTACCGACTGATCTGGATGTTGAGTGGTGCAGGGGCTTCTCCTTGAGTGGCAGTGGTCCCTCGGGCTGCAGTTGCTCCTCAATTGGTCGTGGTAGTGGCTGCTCCTCAGTTAGGTAGGTGCTGTTTGCAGCAGTGGTGTCTCTGGCTGGTAGGTGAGGCTGCTCGCATAGCTGCTATTGCTTGGACAGGGGTGGGCTGATCACAAGGCTGCTTGTCCTTGGATTAGAGCTGGCTGCATGCTGCTGCTGTTCCTCAGATGGGGAGGGCTGCGCGTGAGGCTGCCTCTCTTTGGACAATGGGCAGGTTGCTTACAGGGCTACTGCTCCTCGTATGGGTGCGAGCTGCTTGAACAGCTGCTGCTCCTCAGATGGGGGATGGTCTGCTTGTGTGGCTGCTCCTCCTAGGATGGGGGCGGGATGCTCACCCAGCTGCTGCTCGGACAGGTGCAGACTGCGTGTGGCTGCTGCTCCTTGGACCAGTGTGGGCGGTGCAGGGCTGCTGCTCCTCAGATGTGGTCGGTCTGTCTGCTTGTGTGGCTGCTGCTCCTTGGGCAGGGTGAGCTGCTCAGGCGGCTGCTGCTCCTCGGAGTGAGCTGCATATGCAGCTGCTGCTCCTCATACAGGGGCTGTCTGCTAGCATGTCTGCTGCTCCTCAGATGGATGGGCTGCTTGCGTGGCTGCTTCTCTAAGGGCGGGAGCGAGCTGCAAGTATGTCTGCTGCTCCTCGGATGGGGGCAGGCCACTCACCCAGCTGCTGCTCTTCGGACAGGTGCAGGGTGCGTGTGTCTGCTGCTCCTTGGACCTGGGTGGACTGCACAGGGCTGCCGCTCCTTGGATGTGGGTGGTCTGCTCTTGTGGCTGCTGCTCCTCAGACTGGGGCAGGCTGCTTGGGCGGCTACTGCTCCTTGAATGGGAGCGGGTTTCTTGAGGTGATTCTGTTCCTTGTATGGGTATGGGCTGCTCACACCGCTGCTGCTCCTTGTATGGGGGTAGGCTGCTCGTGCAGCTGCTGCTCCTTGGAGGGGGGCAGGTTTCTCACACACCTATTGCTCCTCAGACAGGAGGAGGGTGTGGGCTCTGCAGCTGCTCCTCGGATGGGGGCGGGCTGCGTGGGGCTGCTGCTTCTCTATCGTGGGCAGGCTGCTCATGGGACTGCTGCTCCTCAAACAGGGCAGGCTGCTCACATGGTTGCTGTTCCTCAGACGAGGGAGTGGGCTGCTCACACAGCTGACTGCTGCTCCTTGGACAGGGGCAGGCCACATGAGGCTTCTGCTCTTAGGTCTGGGGCAGGCTTCTCGTGGGGCTGCTGCTCCTTGGACAGGAGTGGGCTGCTCATGTGTCTGCTGCTTGCGTGGTTGCAGTGCCCTGAGCTCAGGCATTGGACCAGTCAGAGGGAAGCACTCTTCAGAACTCACTGGAGCCTGCGCCCAGGGTGGCTGGAGACTTGTTGACCATGGGACCACAGCTGAGGTAGCAGGTCCCTGGCAGGGGTGTTTGTAGAGTCCCGGGTGATATCTGAGGGCACCCTGGGTGGGGGTAAGGCCTGGCTCCCAGTTACAGAAGCTCTCCCCTTAAAAATGCTAGGCTTCTGGGGATGAGCTGGCCTCCTGGAACTGCTTATAATGGTAGCAGAGGCTGCCTAGTTAGGCAAGCCAGTTTAGCCTGACCACGAAGGTCCTGTGGGATCTATCTCTGCCACACTCACATACACACACTCACATTCCACATGACCACACACTGCTCTTTTGGTCCCTCACTGACTTATGCTCTCTCCCTCACTGCCGCCTTCTTCCTGCCTCTGTAGTTGGGTCTGGGGTGTTATTGACCCGTTTGTGGATGGAGTTTCCTCTCCAGGTGTCTGGTTATGAGGCTCACTCTCTAGCACCTGGCCAGACATGATAAAATTCACCTCAACAAGACACAACACGAAGGGACCAAAGCACGAATATACTCACGACAATAACAACCCCACTGTAAGTGACCACCTGAGAAAAGAGAATTAGAGGCAAGAAAAGAGAGAATAAATGATATCAAGAGAGTGAAAAAAATGAGAGAAAAGAAAAAGGAAGAAAAAGGAGATTATATATATATATATATATATATATATATATATATATATGAAAATACCACAGAACCAATAGATAAATAATCAAACAAAACAAACAAAAATAATAATAATGACCAAAAAAATAAAAAATACAAACACCAAACCCCCAGCAAAGAGGGTGGGGGTAGAACCTGTAGATGCTAAGCTTATATATAGAAGTTAGGTTAAGAATTGGATGAATATGGGGAGGATCTTAGTTCAGTATAGAGGAAGTAGAGAGGAGATGGGTGGATAAGAGGAAAGAGAACGAGAAAAAATAATAATAATTAATTTACAAAGAACTTGATTTCAAAAATGGTATAAAAATAGCAAATACAAATAAAATAAAATAGAGTAATGGAAAAATAATGTGAAAAGATATGGAAAATAAAGCAACAAACAAAAACAGGAAAACAAAGAAAAGAGAAAAAACGAAAAAAAAAGAGAGATAACAAAGTAATAAAAAATAAATAAAAAATAAAATAAAAATGAAAAACTGAAGTGTTCCTTTGGCTGGCTTAAGATCCCAGTCTTCTGTACTGTAGTGTTTCTCAGGTTCTGATAGCTGGGACTGAAAGTCTCTATTTAGTCCAGCCCCTTTGTGCTCTCAGGGACTATTTTGGGTTTTTTTGGTGGTTTTTTTTTTTTTTTTTTTTTAATCCTGTTACCATTCAGGGTGGAATCCGGATGTGGCTGTATTAGTTGCCTGGATACTGGAGGGAGGGGATATCTCTTCAGGACAAAATGGTTGCCCAGGTCCCAGGCTCAGGCATGACTCAGCACCAAACTCGCTGCCACTTCTCCTGGATTCCCCTCTCTCCCCAGATTTCACAATTCTGCACCTTCTCCCACACTCCAGCCACGGGTAAGTGTCTGTATCTGAAAGGTTCTATGAACTAGGCTCTATGAAGAAAGGCACAAGCCACAGAGGCCGGAGAGGCTGCAGCTCTACGCACTCCTCTCCTGCTGGCACTCTTCAGCCTTTACTGACTGTGGACCCACATCTAGAATCCCCTGCCGACCAGCTGTTCTGCGTATCTCCTTTCCACTGCACCCGTCCCAAGGGACGCAGCCCAAGCCGGTGCCATGTGAGTTCCCTCTGATCCTCAGGGCTCAGAGTTCTGGCCGATTATCCTTCCCAGAGCCTTGACTTTACCTTTTGCCAGGAGTCCTCTGCCTTTCCCAGCTGCAAACTGCCTCCCAGCTGAATCTTCTCTGCCAATTCGGGCTGGATGTTATTCGTTTCAGCTGCTCACCCTATCTGCTCCGGGACAAGGCACGGGACACGTTCGTCTATACCGCCACCATTTTTCCCTCCCTGAGAACCTGTATGATTCATTTGATTGGGAAAGTTTAGCTATGAAGACAGAAATCAGAATAGTGGTTGCCTATTGGGGGTTGGGATAGATTTGGAAAGAAGCTTAAAGAAACTTTGGGGTAATGGGATTATTCTACCTCTTGATTGGAATACTGGTTACATAGATGTGTATATTTGTCAAAGTCATTGAGTCTTACATGTAAGATCTGTGTGACTCACTGGTTGTAAACTTTACCTCAGTTAAGACAATTAATAAAAAGTAATATTTTAGCAGATGTTCAAAAGATGTCTGAGGCCAGTACTAGATTTAGATTGTATTTTTAATTCTCCTAGGAACTGTCCCTATGTAGAATTTCTTAAATTTTATTTTTTCACTATATACTGCATTCATATGGTTTTAAAAAAAACAAAAACATTCAAACAAATCTTGGGGGTGGAGGGAGAAATAGTAAAAATTCTTATTTCTGTCCTTGTTTTTAATCCTCCCAGTTTCCTCCCCAGAGGCAACTACTATTCTCAATTTCTTATGAATTCTTCCTCAGACGCTTTATGCAAAAACAAATGCCCTCAGTTTGATAAGTCCAAGAAAATATAGTGCTAACATGAAATATCTTGTTGACAGTTATGTAGCATTAGAACTGTGATTAGAAATTATAGCATTGGAATTGTTATTAGAAATTTTAACATTAGAACGGGAGGTCCTATTTGATCAATTCTTCACCCAAACTGGGTTTGTCATGACTTTTCAAAGTGCAGTTTCCAGAGGATTTTCACATGCTGTCAGTCCTCCTTGGGTAGTCAAGTTAGAAATGCTCTTTTTGGCTAAGACTTTTGCTATTTCTAACTGCTGAAGCCATCGTTTCTCTTTAAAAGCACTGTAAGAAAACAAGATTTATTTATTTATTTATTTCACTGATGAAATTCAAGCTTTTATTTTATTTTTAATTGAATTTGTTGGGGTGATATTGGTTAATAAAATTATATAGGTTTCAAGTATACAATTCTATAATACATCATCTGTATATTGTATTATGTGTTCACCACCCCAGGTCAAGTCTCCTTCCATCACCATTTATCCTCCCCCACCTTTACCCTCTTTTACCTCCCCCAACCCCTTTTTCCCTCTGGTAATCACCATACTGTTGTCTGTGTCTGGGAGGTTTTTTTTTTCTTCTTTGCTTAATCTCTTCACCTTTTCATCCAGCCTGGCTTGGGGTTGAGATCCCAATGCTTATCAGGGGAACCTTTGCAGCTAAGATATCCCTCTGAAATCTCAGCCACCGCCTGCCCATGGGCACAGGGCCAGCCCTTTTCATGCCCTGCCATCCTGCCAGTCTTGATGTGGCTTCTTCTGTAAATCTTTGGTTATAAAACTTTTCTCCAGCTAGTCTTCAGTTGGGGTTTCAGGTTGATTCCTCTACATTTTAGTTGTAATTCCAGTTTGGTCCCGTGGGGAGGTTAGTGTAATATCCACCCACTCCAGCACCATCTTGGACATAATTTATAAGGAAATCCAATCTTGTCCCATTTATAGCAGAAATGATGGAAATTTTTAGGTTGATTTTTGTAGCTATGGCAAGTTTATCTTATCACATGAGTTAAGATGTAAAACAAGAAAAAGGAATCTTTCTAAAACCAGTTTGTTCTGAAGCCACAGGAATGGTATTTCTCAAGGCAATATGTACCATAAACTTGGAACCCACAACTAGAAACAGAAAGCAACTCAATGTCATATAGAAAGCCACTCAAAAAGTTGAAACTTTTCCTATCTGTTCCTCCTAGGCATCCCTATACATAACATATTCCCTAACTTATTCTCCATTCTGCTGCTTCTCACCCACCACAAGCACACAGTTTGCATTGATAAGATAGTAAATATTCTGATAGAGTTTAATTGAAATGCAATGAAAGTTAATATTTTATGATAGCTATGAGGATACCAAAGTTACTGTGCCTTTTCTTATAAATTTGAAAGTGATTGCTCCTAGTTTGTAGGATGCAAATAAGATTTACTACAGAAGGGTTTTATATTCCCTTGAACATTGGGGTCCTCCAAGATTCTATCTTTTGTCTTCCTCTCTTTCTTTTTGCACCCTTATCATAGGAGGCCTCATTTACTAATTGCCCATATCTATGACTTCTAAATCTTGGGCTTTCTTAAAAGTACATATCTCCAATCCTATCTAATAAAAGCCTAGGTGGTGTCAGGTGACGTCATCACAAGATGGCCGCCCCCACTTTGTCACAAGATGGCCACCCCCACGTCATCACAAGATGGCCAACACAAGATGGTCACCACAAGATGGCCAGCAGGGGAGAGCAGTTGTGGGCAACCAGGCCAGCAGGGGAGGGCAGTTGGGGGTGAGATCAGGCCAGCAGGGAGGGCAGTTATGAGCGACCAGGCCAGCAGGGAGGGCAGTTAGGGGCAATTAGGCTGGCAGGGAGGGCATTTGGGGGTGATCAGGCCAGCAGGGGAGGGCATTTGGGGGCAACCAAGCCGGCAGGGGAGAGCAGTTGAGGATGATTAGGCTGGCAGGGAAGGCAGTTGAGGGTGATCAGGCAAGTAGGGGAGGGCAGTTGGGGGCGATTAGGCCAGCAGAGGAGGGCAGTTGGGGGTGATCAGGCTGGCTGGGGAGCAGTTAGGGGGCGATTAGGCAGGCAGGCAGGCAGGCGGTTAGGCACCAGCAGTCCTGGGTTGTGAGAGGGATGTCTGACTGCCTGTTTAGGCCCGCTAAACTGACAGTCGGACATCCCCCAAGGGGTCCCAGATTCGAGAGGGTGCAGGCTGGGCTGATGGACAGCCTGCCCCCCTCATGTATGAATTTCATGCACCGGGCCTCTAGTTAGTAAACAATAGCATTTTGTAATTGGACATCTCACAAAAGCTTCCAATTTATATGTCTTATATCTTCTTCCTAAATCTGTTCCCCTTCAGTATTCTTGCTGACACAGTGATTTTGCTATCCCCACCATCTCCAAAGCTATAAACAAAACTCAATTCCTCCTTATCTGTCCATTCCTACACCCAGTTAGTGACAAATTTTGTAGATTATTCATTAGAAATATGCCACATTTTGCCTTTCTTCTTACTAACTACTTCTGTTTTAGTCCAGATCTTTGTTGCCTCTTGCTTCTCTTATTGCAAAGTCTCCTAACTTTATTGTAGTCTTTTTATACCCACAATATTACTTCTTTCTAGCAAGTCTCCCATGTAGCTTCACTAGATTTATTTTAAAAAATTAAGCAAAACTGCTTATGTGACTTGCCTGATAAAAAAGAACTTCTGTGAGCTCCTACTTACTTCCTACCTCATGGAAAAGGAATAAAAAGCAAACTCTCCACTTGGGCACACAAGATGCTTCTCAATGTAGGTATAATCTACCTTTCCAGTTTCATCTCATGCCATTTTCTCCCTATGCTTTAAAATGCCTTGTATAAATACACTTACTTTCTTGAAAAATAATGTGTTTTTTTTCTTCTTTACAGAACAGCACCTTTGACCATGTTTCCACCTCTACTTGACTCCTTTTCCATACCACCACCAGTTTTATCTGGCAAAGTCCTGTAAAATTAAAGGGCTTTCATTCAATCTATCAGGAATAACCTTGCATGAAAGTAACTTATTATTTTCAAACATTTGAATTAGATCCAAGTTTGCCTGATTCAATATATATATATATATATATTAGAGGCCTGTTGCATGAAAAGATTCATGCAATAGGCCTTTCCTTCCCCTGGTTTTCCTCTGGCACCTGGGACCCAGGCCTTCGCTCCGGCCAGAGCCGCCTTCAAGCCTTCGCTGCTCCGGCCAGAGCTGCCTTCAGTCTTTGCTCTGCCGCTTTGCGCCTACGTATGCAAATTAACCGCCATCTTTGTTGGTGGTTAATTTGCATATCTTGCTGATTAGCCAGTGGGAGGTGTAGCGAAGGTATGGTCAATTACCGTGTTTGTCTTTTATTAGATAGGATATATATTAGACGTCTGGTGCATGAAATTCATGCACTAAGTGGGGGTTGTCCCTCAGCCCAGCCTGCATCCTCACCAATCTGGGACCCGTCGGGGGATGTCCAACAACCAGCAGTTGGACATCCCTCTCACAATCCAGGACTGCTGGCTCCCAACCGCTCACCTGCCTGCCAGCCTGATCGCCCCCTAACCACTCCCCTGCCAGCTTGATTGATGCCTGCTGTCCTGGTTGCCCCCAACTGCCCTTCCCTGCCAGCATGGTCACCCCCAAAGGCCCTCCCCTTCCAGCTTGATTGATGCCTAACTGCTCCCCTGCTGGCCTGATCATCCCCAACCTCCCTCCCCTGCCAGTGTAGTTACCCCCAACTGCCCTCCCCTGCCAGCCTGATCTCACCCCCAACTTCCCTCCCCTGCCAGCCAGTTCACTCCCAACGGCCCTCTCCTGCCGGCCTGGTCATCCCCAACAGCCCCTCCCCCTGCCAGCCTGATCACCCCCAACTGTCCGCACCCTGCCAGCCTGATCTCACCCCCAACTGCCCTCCCCTGCCAGCCTGATCTTGCCCCCAACTACCCTCCCCTGC